CAGGTTACACCGATATGAACGACCGTCTCACCTTCGACAATAGGAACAAGCAAAGATTAAAGAGCAAACGAAATAACTCAGCAATACATTGAGAATAGTTTGTACTGTTATGTGAATTACAAAAATTTGCTCGCTTTCTGAAATTTACAAATTTTATTGGTCTAATTAAAATATTCTAACTCTTAAAGATTGCAAATTGAGCCATTAATTCTTTTTCAAGACTAACTCACTTTTAAGAATTAGATTCTACTCTACAGAATTTAGAGAGTTAATAGTGTGTAATAATTTAATTATGATAATTAATAATTGATATCCTACGTAATTATTCTTGTGGCGCGACATCGTCTTCCCAGGAGAAAATTTCCAAAGTTTATGATTTCGATTGTGCAAGGCGCTTCGTTCCTTTCACGAGTCATCTAATTCAACGATATATATTAAGATTGTTGTATGGCGTGCAGTATTTCTCTCGGAAGAAATCTGATCGATCGTCGGCGAAAGTTCAATCGCAAGCTCTTTAATGGTCATTCGAAGGTAGCCTGTTTCCACTTAAGGAGTCATTTCTCCTTGGAAACACGGTGAAAAGAAAGTTCCAAGAACTCGCGTCGAGTTCACCCTCGATCGAATCGGATCAATCGAGAATAACAACGATCGTAATAGCCTGGCTATTAATCTAATCAGAATCGAAAATGTAATCGAATGCGATATCGTAATATATCGAAATCACAATAAAGCGATATTGATATCGCAAAATTATGATATCATGTAAGATCAACGATCTTGTTTAAATCATATTTTTCCGTCTATCTAAGAATACGTCGCGCGTATCAATACTTCACCGCTGAGTCATCCTAATTTTTTATTTGGAACAAAAAAACAACAGACTTAAAAGCGCGCCTTAAAGAGTCACAAGTTACTTTTGAAGTTACTATCAGAATATTTTACTCTTTCAAAAATTACACCACTCCACTTAACGTAAAAGACACGTAAACGCGTTTGACAAGAATTTACAGCACTTTCAATGTCCTAAAAAGGAAACGTATAAATCCCTTGGAGAAACTCCTCCACATTTCTTCGCTAACGACCGCTAATCACGCGATAAAGAGATCTGATCTCAAGATTTTAAGACGCCGCGCAAATTATTCCGATAAGATAGGAATGTGCCAGCGGCGAGACAAATGGAATTTGTACCTCAGCATAATCAATCGATTCTGGATATCGTGATCCCGTGAAATCCCAGGAGCTGTATTCTCGAAAAATATCGCAAAAATATTATATGACAAAATATTATATAATATACTCTGTTATGGACTTTCTACAAAAAGTCATCTAAACTTAAGCCTTAAACCGTAAGAAACTGACCAACCACGGTCGAATGTGAGAAGAATAATTTTATTCAAAGCTTAGGTAATAGCTTATTGTAGAAAACTCATTAGGCATCAAAGGAGCAATGGTAACCCGATTTTTTGAGTTAAATAATATTTTGTTATTTTTAACTTCGTTGAGTGCCAAAATATAATTCAATTCATTTCTATAGTTAATTTAAAAGTAAACAATATTCATATTAACGTATGTACTTGGTAACTAATAAACTAAATTTCAGTTAAATTCGATACATTTTCTCGAATTAAATTTAACTCCATTTTAAATAAATTAATGATATATTGAATAAGAAAAAAAATTTATCAAATTGGATATAATTTGACATAAATTTAACAGCGAATTTAACAATATAAAAGTTACGTGTATTGTAGGTTTCTTTAGTATTCCCGTATGCGATTTTTTTCCGAAAATAAAGCTCCAGGGCAGGCACTGGCAGAAAAACCAGTCTAGTTACAGGCCTTTCATTTTCCCGTCCACTTCCAGCGGGTCGCGAAGTCGCGCCGCGCGCGAGACAACTTTTTTTCGCCCGGTGGCTTTTCCCGTCGGGAAGCGGGAAGTGGCGGGAAGGAACAGCGGACGCCTTTTCGTCGTGTCGTGTCGTCGTGTTCCATCTGCCGCGCGACGTAACCACGTAACGCCCGCAGAATGCACAAGCGCCTCCGGCGAAGGGAGAAGGGGTTAGGGGAGCGCCGCCGTCGGCGCCCTCTCGGGCGCCCTCGATGATTCCATGCGTAAAGAAATGTGTAACATACGCACGGCGCGTCGCGCTTCTCCGTCTCGAGGTGCGCCGAACGTTTAGTCCGGATCTACAATAAGTGATTTAAGTCTTAAGCCGTAAGAAATTGACCAATTACAGTCGAATTCTAGGAGAATAATTGACTGATTCGCCCATTTCTTATAGCTTAAGGTTTAAAATTCTAAAGCCCATTCTACATAAGACGCAGAACACGGGTCGCAGGTTGCAAAGCTAGAAATTAACCTAACGTATTTTAATTATGATTCGATTGTAGGATGCAGAACACAGGAAGTTGGGTGAACTTCAACTTTCGTGTCCTACGTATTGCGGTCTGTGTTAGCGACCTATTACAATCTGAAATACGTTTCACTTGCGACCTGCGACCTGCGTCCTGCGTTTTATGTAGAATGGGCTTAACATCTGGTTTTTAAGCCTTGTGTGTCTGTTTGTGTTTCGCGAAGCAAGAAATCGCCCCGAGACCTCGGATGGAGAAAAAATTAATAATCATATTTGAACACACAATAATCATTTAGAAATAAGACATGTAAAATCAACTAACAATAAGTAAGAGAAGCGCCACTTACGTTCCAAGTTGGAATAATACATATATTTAAATAAATTGAAAAACCCCAAAAAATCCTTATCATAAAAAAAACAACTAATTCCTATTAACCTTTTTCCTCTTTATTCAGTATTCAATAAATGTATCTCAAATGTAATTGCGCGCCGATTACTTTAGCGCAATCAAACTGAAATATATAATAATAGTCCCCTGAAGTTCGATTTACTAGCATCTTAAAACCTATAAACAACGAAAAGTATTTGAATTCGGTTATATCAATTTGTGATTGATCAATTCATTCTCTCTCCGAGATCTCGGAGCGATTTCTAGCATCGTAAATCTTGGGAAGTGATGCGGTGTAAAAGGAAGACGCAGCCTATTTAACGTCGACCGGCGTGTGCTAGAGACGGAAATCTTCATTCGCGACGATGGCGAGTCCGCGGCGGAGATTGGGCGACGGGTAAACCGGTCTGGATCCCTTGATGTAACGTTAGACATGCGAGCCGAAAGACTCGTGACACACGTGTAGCCACCGCGATGAGCGGGATGGGCCTTTCTCGCAGGCAGGACTGAAGGAGGAGTTTCTTCGTTCTCCGCGTATCGGTCGAGCTGCGAGCAAAACAGCGGCGTTTATTTCATACTTATATACGTACACGCACGTACTCTACGCGTGCAACCGCGTCCGTTGCTCGCTCGTTCACGGCTCCGGTCCCTGGCGATCACGCGTCGGCGAACGCGCGAGGGAGCCTCGCTCCGCGAGCAGCAGAAAGACAGAAACGATCGAGGCTGAACGATGAACGTACGCGAGAGTCGGCGAGAGCCCGGCGTCGAGATATCCGAGATCACAGACGCGAAGTAAAAACAAAGTCTGTACAGGAGAAAGAGGAAGAGAAAGAGGGAGGGGGGAGAGAGAGAGGGTGAGGAACGGTCAACGGTCATGATGCGGATTATTTAGCGCTCTGGTCGACCACGACTACCGTCGAACGGCCAATTTCACGGTTGCGGCGTCCCACCGGGATAGGGGGGAAGGACGAGAGATTAGCCTACGGTTTCCCTGCAGGAGTAAACGAAAACCAGTTGGCTGCTCCACGCCCATAGCGCGCACGGGACAACCGCCTCCTTTTTCCTCTGTCTCTTCCTCTCCCTCCCTTCCAACGATTCCAACGTACTGTTCCGATCGGTCTGTCTCGCTCGCACGGCGATCCTCGATCGCGCGTGGCACACTCACCTTGATGATCAGCTCGATCTCGGGTACGTCGCCGTTACTGGTGCCGTTCTCGTGATTATCGTCCGCCATCCTGACGGGGATCTTCGTACGCGGCGAAGAAGGAAGAAGGCACTTTTGTCCTGTGGCGTTTCTCGGTGGCTACCTCTTTCTTTCTCTCTCTCTCTCTCTTTCTTTCTCCAGTGACTCGGCGCAAAACTGAACGAAACTAAGGAACGAATAGGACGCAACGCAAGTCCGCTGAATACTGACTGAATTGACGCAACGCGTCACGACCGTCACGACTCACCGTGCCGCGCCACGTTCGCGCCGATGGCGCCGCCTGCGGCGCGCCCGCCGAATCACGTGACGCTTCTTTGCGCGCGCGCGCGAGAAACGCGCCTAATTTGAAAATGGTTTGATGACATAAGATTACTGTATTCTGTAACTCGTTATGTAGAGCGAATTACGGAATAGAGTACATACCCCGAACGACAGTAACGACAACGTATATTATCGTTACGCAGGTTTCATACATGATAAAAAAAACTGTGCAAGGACAATATAACGATATCGTTACTGTTGTTAAGAGTTAAAAAATAGAGACGCAGATGAATCAATTTCAAAGTAGTAACAACGTTTGAGACGAATCAGAAATTGGTCCTGAATTTTATAAGCTAATATAAATCCGGTATCAGAAATTTGCCTTAAATTACATTCAACTGTCATTGTATGTAATGCTGCATTTGGTCTTTTTACATTATGGTTTGATGTGTTTTACTTGAATTCCTTACAAAAATTTTATTTAATGGAAATTACTTATTTTGCTTTTAATACTTGATAGATAATTAATCACTATTTTCCAAATAATAAATTTCTGTAAGAGGTGTTTAAGATACTAGAATTTTTACAAAACATTGTAATAATACAAAAATTAGAGCGTCTTTTGGATGTTTTTATGATCTATTCTAGGCTTTTACGTTATTTGTATAATTACCATGTGATAAATTTTTCTATAATTTTTGTGATAATTGTTTGACTGATCAATAATTGCTAATCAATAATTAATGTTACAGTATCAAAATATATAAATATTCCTATTAAATACGTTTTTCGCGCTAAAATATAAATAATTATACACAAAACGGTCAGATATTTGTGGCATAAATGTTTTTCAAATTTGCTTTTCTTCATCAGGTGCGCAAGTAGCCGACAATATTTTCTTCAATGACTCGCTATTTCGAGATTCTATGTAACATTTTGCAGTCTTCAAAGCATCTTGTAAAGGCGATTCTATCCTTTTTCCCTGTTGATAAACACAATATATATCACTTATATTTATGTTATAGAAGATATATTTTGAATTTAGACCTCATCTTGCGATTCTTCTGAAAAATTCTCCTCAATAACTGAATAGCGATGTGATTTTTTAAGAGCATAGTCCGTGCCATCTTCCATTACATTTTCTTTAAAAATATATTTTTTTAAATATTTTATTGTTTTGAGATATTTAATTCGCATTATATTTTCTTACCGTTATTATCTGCACCTCGATATAACGTGACATTGCTGATCAAAATTATATAGGAAATAAGAAAGGCAAGTCTTAGAAATGCCATCGTATGCAATTTTAAAGGAAGTGAAAGTGAAATTTGGAGGAAATTTAGATGATCAAAAATAAATTAATTAAAAGTTGGGACCATGGTTGGAACTGATAGCTATTTTGTTTATGACATTTCAGTCATGAAAGCGTCGGGGATAGTATTGTGTGATATTATCGACGAGACGATTGCACAACTTCAGATTATTTCGAGATTTAATATACAGAATATAAGGAAGACGTATTGGATGTCCAACATTTCAGTTGAAATAATCAATATGCTATATTCTTAACTATGATTCTTAAACAATATAGCAACAATAATATTTCATATGTACATAATTACTAATCCTCTTTATATAGCAATAAACCTGAACTCGTTTAACGTCTTACGTTTGGTCGGATCGTAGAGATTATCGTAAACTCTACAGCCAGAAGTTCTTATGCTCTCTTACAATTAAACTTTTTCTCCTTCCGCTTACGTTCGCGCGTCAAAAAAAAGGTATGTACGACGGACCAAAGAAAGAGGATATGCTGAGTGTATGAGTTCAATCGACAGACTATGAAAGCTATGCATTCATTATTAGTGTGACTTCTAATCGCTACAACGGTTAGTACTCCGCTTTTTTTCGTTTCTTTTTTCACTTAATAACTTATTTTCCAACAGACGATTGAACAATGTGACGAATTTAAATTATACTAGGCCGAGTGTAAAATATACAATATATTATCAACTCTTCTTACAAAGTAACACAAAAAAAGAGTGTCCCCCTCCAATTTTAATAAACTTTGGATGTGTTAAAATATACAAAAAATAGACACGTATTTTTTTTATAAACCAATCAGATTCTTTCAAGAGAGGGCTTCACTCTCTTATTATGTGGCTCAACGTTTATAAAAAAATATGCCTCTTTATTTTTTATCTACATATTTAAAGCTTATTAAAATCAGAAGGGAATACTTGGTTGTATTCCCTTTTTAGTTATAGCTTTAGAATATAAGAGATTACTCGGCCGTCACCAATTCTCTGATTCGGTGGCTAAGGACTATGATATTAATTCATTAGTTCTTTTTCAATCTCGTTAAAAAATATGAAAGACGCAAGCATACCATCGTCGATATAAGATTCGCGATAAGATTTTTTTAAGTATATATGTATATAACAAATTCTCGTCTAAATAATTATGTTGTCTTGATTAGAATAATATCTCATTCCACTCTAACGGTCGATTTGAGATCTCGTCTCATTGACTCATCATTAACAACGATAACGCATTTTCGGTGCGCTGTTCGGATTGGACCCAAATTCTAAAGCAACGGATAGAATAGCGTAGATTATCAGAGAGTGTAGGATACACGCTTATAGAATTATTTCACATATGTGTACCATAAATATCGAACATGATCATAAATATACGAATAGGATAATAGTAATAATTGACTAATTTTGGTTTTACACGGACATAATCCCTAATTGCTTTATCCGTTAATTGGTATATCGTACTCTGCATCCTAGAGCACTAATAAAAATTTTCGTTCGAATGCTCATAGCTTCTAATCTGATTAACGAGCCTAATTTCGCAGTGGGTCCAAGCTCTCCAAAGAAAAGTCATCAGTTCCAATGCACAGCCCTCTACTAAAGCCATCCTGAAAATTTTTCATCGTATTATAACCTATTTATAAAGGAACCAATTAAAAAGTAAGAACTGCATGTTTCACCTTCATCTCCAGCAACTTCTTATCCAGTAGTCCGATAGCGTTTTCCAGTTCTTGTTGGCTAGGATTAGATGTCATGGTCGAAGCTCCGAATTCTCCCATTTCAAACGGATCCTTAAATTCATTCTTCATATTTAAAGTTGGCGTAGGATTGAAAGGAATGCTACCAAACAGATCTTCCTTGACTCCGTTTTGACGTCTCGAGTCTTTCGTCTTTGGTGGTGGTGCCACTGGAAAGAAAAAAATAATGTTCTCAATGCATACATCATACAAGTTAATTAATGTCCATAAATTATACATATACTTACGCAGGGGCGGAGGACTGGTTGTGCCGTTAGATTGCGAGAAGAAGTTCGATCCCGAAGATATCTGACCGTTAAGAAGCGGATTATTTGACTGGTGATTAGCAAGACCATTAGCTGCGGTCTCATAAGCTCTTGGGTTGAAATCTTCCTCAAACTCATCCATCAACAGCCCTTCCAATTTGGTGCCAACCGACGGCATTGGTGCCGGCTCATTCCTACAAAAAATAAAAATGAAATTAAGAAAGCAGAAGTTGATGAAATTTACAGTGATTGTTGACCATACCCCATGAAATCATCGTCGAAATTCGTCTCAAAACTCCTCGGCGGAACTGGCGGCGGTTGCTGAGGTCCATTAGACGTATTTCCGTTGCTGTCACTCATATTCAACAATGGCTTGCTAGTCGTACCATTGACCTGTGATGAATCCGTAGGAGTTCCAGGTACGTGAAGAATATCGGGTATATTATGCTGCGATAGGTATGTCGACACATCCGCCTAAATCCGAACAAAAACATAATTGAGAAAGATCGAAACAATCATTACGTCATATTACGTCAAGAATCTTATAAAAAATAAGTTTCATATATTTTTTTCTAACTAACCGAGCCTTTAATAGCCGCCACATCTTGCAATCGTTGCCGATAAACATTGTTCTCGTGTTCAAGTCGTTTTATTTTCTGCTGCAGCACCATACAACGTCGTTGCGTCTCTAAATCCTTGCCGGATGTTTCCAGGAACCTCCTGTAGGCGAGATCGAAGGCTTGACCGATGGTCAGCGTGATTTCCTCGGCTAGTTTGTCGCTGACGAAAACGAAACATGTATGTCTCTCCGCGTCCTCTTCCTTCGCGATGAAACTGAAGAACTTCTTCTCTCCTTTGTCGTCGGCGCAGTATGAAATTCTATGTAACGGATACTGATGCATAATTCGCTGCAAGAATAACCTTCGATCAAACAATGTCCAAGTAATCGAACCTTGGATACGAGCGTGAATACGGAAAGTAATTGTCGCATAAAAATTAATTCTTCACGTCGACAAATGGCACTAACCTTGGACGTCGTTTTCGTTTTCGGTTCTTGTATCGCCACGCCATCGATGCTTATGGTGAGTTCGACCTTCGGGGTTTTCGTGCCTTCGCTTTTCTTGAGTTGCTGATTGAATTTCAGTTTGCAAATCGCCTCCTTAACGACCTCGATGCCTTTGGGTTGGTCCACCTCTGTGCTGCCCAAATACTAAAATATTAAGTCATAGAGAGATGACGACAAAAAGAAATCAGTATGCGCAATAATTGTTGTACAAAAAAAAACGACACAGCGTGGGAAATACTGTGACGCCTCTAAGAAAAATTCACGTTAAAAACACGGTACAAATGTACTTATTATTAATGACGGTCTTTTCTTAGCGCATTCCTTCGCACTCTGCATATTTTTGCATTATAATCCTTGCAAATTTTCCGCATACATTTGTAAATTAGCAGCGCACGACATCTCTCGTCAAGGTAATTTCCGAAAGAATAGTTGTCTAACTACTTATAGATAAGTCGCTGCATGTATATTTAAATATTTTACGTAACCAAAACAGCCTAAGAGAGTTCCGGATATCTTTAAAAAATTTATTTATCAAGAAAGATTATATCACGTGGATTGCAGGAAAAGAAATTGCTGACAAAAATGAAAATATTGATTATGACTTTTATCGCAACTCGTAGAAAGTGAGAAAGGAAATTGGATATACATAATAATAATAATAATAATAATAATAATACATCGTCAGGGAAATTAATCCTAATCGATAATTAATGGAACTGCTTGCAATCGCTTTATTTCACAAACCGAACAAAACGAAACGAGGCATTTCGTAATGACGTTTGGAAATAAGACGCACATCTAACGGAAATTTACGCTGCATTCCTTCCTCCCGATAAAATATTTATGCACTTTAATCTTATACGAACAACGCGATAAACGTAACACTGACAAATTGCGCGATATTATCGTGTTACGATGACGTTTCACTGCGTAGTTTAATGATCTTTGGATACTTTTATATCCCCGATCAAATTACGCATCTTCTTGAATGACGGAATTGTACTCCGAACACTTACGCAAAATCGAATCCGATCGCATTTTAATTGCATTTTCCATTTTATTTCCTGCTTATGTAACAAAAGTATAAAATTTTAACTCTTTCAGAATTATAAAAAATTCACATAAAAATTGTTAAATTTTTAAAAAATTATTCTTAATTAAAAAATTCAGATTTATGCTTTTTTTCTCTCAGCCTAATGAGAAATTAAATCAAATCTCCAGTCGATTAAGATATATTGGATATGTTAACACATGGAGAAATTTTCCTTTCAGTGGAATACCTTCCAAAAAAAATACGGGGAGAGCAGGATTGCGGAAACCTAATCCGGTTAGAGAAAAAGGCATGTCCGGACATATCAATTCCGCTGTTTCGTGTTTAGTGGTGACGACACGACACTCGTTTCATTCGTGAGATAGTGAAATCTGGCCGCTCGCGAAGTTTCGAAGTTCAACGAACTCGTGGCGACGCGCCGGTTGGGGTCTCAGCGTCTCGAACAATTCATCCACGATATGCCGGTATTCGTATTCACGAGGAAACTTACGTACGTGCCGGTAACAATTCGAAATGAAAGGTAAACGGTTGCAAGTTGCGCACTTTTTCCGGGTGACGCGAAATGAATGAACGCTTCGAGACTAGGATCTTATTTCTATTTCTGTGCAAGTCATTCAAAAATAATGAGATTCCACAACCGGCTAGAAAGTGTAAATCGCGAGTTACTTTCAGTTTTTACATGATTATTTCCATCTTTTAACAACCAAACATTAAACTCCTCCCGTCGTTGGATTCAACCTGAGCATCTTTATCTTTACGAGACATCTGAGCCTTTCGTTTCCAGACTTACGATTTCTTTCTTCATTACAGGAAATATTGAATTTTTACGAATTAATTATTGGAAATTTTTATATTTCTATGAATCTACTTTCTGATAAATCTTGTCTCAAATAAATATAATAATTTATCTACTGTAGAACATTAAAATTTAATTAATTAAAATATATTTTTTCTCTAGAAAGAATAAAATAATGAAGAATGTCTTTGTTCTCAATCAACTGCCTCTGTTTTCATTACCTTT